GGTGGTGGGTTATGAGCTGTTGCAGAGAAAGCAGCGAGGGCAGGCAAGCAGCTTAAATAAGGCACCTTCTATGGAATTTGCCAATGAATGCTAGGAGATTAACCAGCTGAGCTGCTGATGTGGCTGGCTTAAGATGGCTGCTATCAGCTGCTGGTACTGTGAGCTGAGCTTAACTTCGTTGCCTGCCTGAACTAATGCTGTGTTTCATTACTATCCAGATCCCGAACTGTGTTTTGAACAAGAAAAAAATGACATCATTTTAAAGCTTTCCAAGGGGTTTCCAAATGGTTAACATCAAACTCTAGACATGGCCGGCACTTACGTTAGCGGGCAGTTCTTGGTGGAGAACAGGTGACGCTGAGGTCACCGTCAGTCCCAGCGGACATGAAGGTGTAATAGCCCGGCTGGTTGATGGTGATCTGGCTGTTGATCCAGGACTGATACTGGGACACTCGGGTGTAGCCTGATGGGATATTAGGCACTGCGCAGCCCCTATTACTGAGGAAACTCGTGATTCCCCCCTGGATCCAGCGACCGCCCTGCTTGCTCACCAGCGGACCTCCTCCATCCCCCTTTACGGAAAGAAACATTTAGGAGAAGGAATCTTTGCAGAAGGTAAAATCAGACTCGAACACAGGAGTAAAACTGATCACCTGACAGATGCCCTTCCCTCCAACATTTAACTTGGCGCACATCTTGTTGTTTGTGATCAAACTCAATCCGTAGGTACAGGTACACTCTCTGTTTCCAACAATCGGCAGCTGCACCTCCATTAGGTTTTGTGGGAAAGGCAGGGACACTAAAGAGACACAAATTTAGTTTAATAAACAAGTGTTCACATGTTTTGAAATGGTTTCAAACAAAATGGGAGTTCAATAAATACATCAGTGACCTGTGGCACACCTCAAGTATTGCCAGATGTTCCTCTATGGATCAAGCAAACATTGTCCCTACTTGAACCCAAAGGACCATGCCAGCTGTTTTTCTATGTCTTAGCCCATTAAAGGTACAATGAGTAGCGTTAAACCAAAGGGCAGGTCCGCCACCAAACTTCAAAACACTTGCAGTACTTCAAATTAAATTTATATAGCGCCAATTCATTACAAAGTTACCTCATTCACTTTTTATATATATAGCAGGTCTAGATTGTACCATCTATTATTATGAACACTTGGTGACGGAGGCAAGGAAAGACTCCCATTTAGGAGGTAGAAAGACCTCGACCGGAACTGTGACTCAGGTTTGGTGGCCAGCGTTGGATAGCGAAAGAGGACGAGGGGGTGATGCAACACAATATCCACATAGAACTGCATAAAAGGTAAAAGTGGTTGTGGTGCAGACAGAAAATAAACAATGTTATTGATAATTCTAGTAAAATTAATAATATAGTAGGATTAATAATAATTGTAGCAGTGGCGGCAGCAGGAAGCTTGCAACCACAGATCTAGACCCCACAGCTCCAGAGCCAGAAACACCTGCAGAGAGCAACAGACGGAGAGAGGAGAGGGACGAGAGAGCAGCAAACTACAGGAGAGGGAAGTAGTAGAGTTAGAAACATGTAAGAAAGAGATGAAGAGGAGAGAGGAGCTCAGTGCATCATGGTAAATCCCCGGGCAGTCTAGGCCTATAGCAGCATAACTAAGGGATGGTTCAGGACTCACCTGAGCCAGCCCTAACTATAAGCTTTATCAAAGAGGAAAGTCTTAAGCCTACTCTTAAATGTGGAGATGGTGTCTGCCTCCTGAACCCAAACTGGAACCTGGTTCCACAGGAGAGGAGCTTGATAGCTGAACGCTCTGGCTCCTAGTCTACTTTTGGAGACTCTAGGAACCACAAGTAACCCTGCATTCTGGGAGCGCAGTGCTCTGGTGGGGTAGTAAGGTACGATGAGCTCTTTAAGATAAGATTGTGCCTGAAAATTAGGGGCTTTGTAGGTAAGAGGAAGGATTTTAAATTAATGGACTTTTTCAAGCAGCCTGATAATAGGGAATTGCAGTAATCCAGCCTAGAAGTAACAAATGCATGGACTATTTTTTCTGCATCATTTTTAGACAGGATGTTCCTGATTTTTGCAATATTATGTAGGTGACAAAAGGCAGTCCTTGAAATTTGCTTAATTTGAGAGTTAAACGACATGTCCTGATCAAAGATAACTCCAAGATTTCTCAGAGTTGTGCTGGAGGCCAGGCCAGAACAGGATTGGAGGATAGTTGTGTTGAAGATGGACAAACAGTTGATGGATGGACGGTGAAGAGGAGAGCAGGAGGACACAATGAGAACTTTGGGAGGTTTGATGGTTCCTCCTGTATCGTCTCAAATCTCTCCCAGTCAGACACTGGAGTTTACTGGTGTGAAAACACAGTTCTGGACAGACGAGTGACCAGATCAACATCACTGTGACTCATTCAAAAGGCAAGTTGATCCATCCTGTGTTCATGTCTGTATACGATCCTACACTGTCCGTTTGGGACTCTGGTCTTATGTGGGGTTTTTTTCTTCTTCAGATTCTCAGGTTATTCTGGAGATTCCTGCACTTCCTGTGATGGCAGGAAGTGATGTCACTCTGCGCTGTAGAAGTAAAGATCTGTCCACACTTGAAGCTTTTTTTTTCAGGGATGGTTCTAACATTGGATCTGGACCTGGACAGTTGAACATCAGTAACATCGATATGTCTAATGAAGGTCTTTACTGGTGTTATAATGATTAGACTGCTGTATCTCCTCAGAGCAGGCTGAGGGTCCGAGGTCAGATCACTGACATCACTTCCTGTTTATATTTTAAATTTTTTTTAATTTATGGTGTATTTTATTAGGGACCGATACATCTAACATAGATTAACTGAAAACAGTAATCCAATGTGTGTACCATAGTGTTTTTAGCAGTTGCTAATTTGCAACACTCTTTTCAACAACACTTTAAAGAAATGAAAATTAAAACTGATGAAAAAAGAAAACAAAAAAAGTATGATTGATGGTTGTGTTTAAGTATGAACTAACCTGCTGACCTGATAAACTGATCACTGCATTTGTACTGATTTCTTCTTCAGGTCCTACTGCCCATCGCACTGCCCCTCCTTCTCCTCCTCCTCTTTCTCCTACTCCTTCTGCTCCTCCTTCTGCTCCTCCTCTAGTCTCCCCCACTGCCACCCCTCCAGTTGGAGCAGCTGTGGGTTCTCTGGTTCTTGTGGTTCTTCTGGTTCTGATCCTGGTTGGGGTTCTGTTTCTCCACAGGAATCTAACAGGTATGAAAGCTGTCAGACTCACCTGATATGAACAGACTGGAACTCAGTAAATCAACCCAGGCTTTCCCGATTCAGCTGTGAGCGTGTTCACATAAAAGACGCGGAGTTAGAAGCAGATGACCAGTCACAGACATGAACAAGTCTACTGGCAGCAAACATATTTTATAAACGAAGAGTAAACTGTTATGTTAGACAAATACAACAATGTCTACAAGTCTAAGCACCACAGCTTCGGGGCACATGGAGGGAGGCAGATAATCGCCGACAGTGTGAATGCCTAAATGAACAGGAATCTATAATAATGCGTTGATTTCTTCTTATGGTGTCTATGAAAATTTTAGCCTAAACTTTTGCACAGTGATGTAATCATACAGAGAGACTGAAAGCCTTGTAAGCTACTATTGTAGGTTTTCATTGTAAGCCGACTCACTGCTTTGAAATGTGTTTTATTTTTTTTTATTTGCTCCCCAGTCGGTTTCACACAGCCTGTCGCGGCCGTTAAAATAAATAGGTTTAATTCTTCTTATGTGAGGCTGAATATTATAAACATATAATTTGGTAGGGATTTAGAAATTAATTGTAATATGAATGTAGGTTATATATTTTTGGTTAGCTATTTTATAATATTATAAAATTATATACCTTTTGCGATATGAACGCAGGTTATGTGCGGGAGTTTCCAGTAGCCTAAATGTAGAGATTCAGTCTTTCAACCTCAATTTGAGCCCATTTTATGGCATGAATGTATTTTTTGACTCATTGCTTTATGAAGTTAATTTAGAACAATGTTTGGAAAACTTTTGAGTGTGTCAAATAAATTAATACATTTTTGAAGTGAGCCTGTGTCGTACAATGGGCAAGCGCCGACACACAGCCGAGCTAAAAGTATAAAGCAAATACTTTCATACACGCCATAAGAAAACATCAATGCATTATTGTAGGCTACAGCTGTTCATTTAGGCATTCGCACTGGAGAATATCTATCTGTAGTGTTACAGTTTGCTCTTCGTTTGTAAAATATGATGCTCTGCTAACAGTGGACTTGTTCATGTCTACAATTGGTCATCTGCTGCCAACACCGCCTCTTTCATGTGAACGCGCTCATGGCTGGATTGGGAAATCCTGGCTTGATTTACCGAGTTGATAACCAGCTTCATGTGACCGCTTATCCTGATAGCGATTATTAGGGTTAGTGAAGCCAGATAACGAAAACATGTCCTGAGAATACTGAACTCGCTATGTGGTACAGGCCCCTGATCCTTGTTTTAGACAGTTTCCGTGTTTTATTTTGGAGTCTGTCTGAATTATCAGTTATTTCATCTGCTTGTGTGTTTTCTGCTTTGCGTGTTTTTTCAGTTGGTTTCCTGTCATGTGGTTTTGATCTGTGCCAGTCTTGTTTTATTCTGTTATTGTCTGGTTGTTTGTCTGGTGTTTGATTCATGCTTGGTTTCTGCCTGTCAGCTAAGTGTTAGTTTGGGTCTCTTCCTGTTTGGTGTTTGGTCTGTTGTGTGTCTTGGGTTTCAGTCCTGATTGTTTCTTGTCTTGATCTGTTCTGTCTGCTTGTCTCCTGTTCTGTTTAGTTTTCATATGTTGGGTTGTTCAGTATGTTCACTTCTGTATTTAGGTCTAGTCCTGTCTGGTCCCCTTGATTGGTGTGTTTGCCTGAGTCTTTATTCTGTCTGATTTCCTCATGCATTCCACCTGGTCTTGGTCCCGCCTTGCTCGTTACCTTGTGCTTAAATGTTTCATTTCATTTCTGTTCTGTCCTCGCTGGTCTGTTGTTCGTCTCTCCTTTGTGTGTGTCTGTTTTCCTGCCTTTCTCAACTGCCACATTTTGGATTATCTGTTTAGGGACTTAGTAACCTTTTGCCTAGTTTGGATTACCTTATTTTGTGGATCTCCTTGGTTTGTGTTGGACTGCCTCACTTTGAGTGCCTGGACTTATTTGTAAGTTAAACCTCTTCCAGACCATCCTGCTTTTGGGTCCTACAGCCTGTACCTGCTTGCACACATGGCAATCCTGACTTGATCAGCTGTTTTTGCTGTTGGGGTCTGCCAGATATTCCCTTAACGTGTAAAAGCATGGCTAGTAGCAACTTGCCCACTAGCAACTCATTACTGAATACCTCTCCATTTTTCTCAGATTCATGTTTTTTAGGTCCATGCGTCTGGTTTTGTGTCTGGTTTGCACCCACTACTACTTGTTTATTGCAGTCATGCGTAATGTCAACGTATGACGTAACTACGGTTGACGTAACTACGGTTACTTGGCGTAACCTGGTTGATTCACTCCAAACCAGTTGAAATGTGCCTATTTTCCTATTTTTCTTTTTTTTGCAACATTTTAAAGGTTTGCTTAAAATTTGCTTGACAATTAGATAGAAAGATGGCTATAGTTAGGGAGATGCTTCAGGTGTGGTCATGTGAGGTACAGACCCTCAGTCCCATGGTAACAGCTGCTTGTATATGGGGGGAGATGTGATGTACCTGTAGGTCACATGATGACACCTGAGCCAACTCCATTTACTGATGAACACCATGAGATGCTGCTGAAAGCTCAGTTAGATATTTTCCACTAACTGTTTATATATTTGAATACAAAGATAACCTGCTGACCTCTGACCTTTAGTAAACCTTGTTCTCCTGTTCTAGGTCTGGCTGTGCTGACTGCTGCAGGTGAGCTGATGGAAGTCTGTCGGTCTGTCTGAACCCTGACCTTTAGGCTGCGTTCAGACTGCAGGCCAATATGACCCGAATACGATGATATTTTGTCTTTTTTTTTGCTCATATGTGACTCAGATCTGATCTTTTTATGACAGTGTGAACAGGCCAAGACAGTTTACGGGTTTTATTTTGGAGATCTTTTCTAGTTCGGATTTGGGGCACTTTCATATGTGGTCGAAATCTGATACAGATCGGATCTTTTTAAATGCGACTTGAGTCTGGGAGAAGCTAACGAGCCGGCCAGCCAGTCAGTTCACAGAGCCCTCAGACACGTAGACCACTGCAGCCAACACAGCAGAGAGTCCAGCAACGACAGCAGAATAAAGACCCTTAGCTGTAAGATAGTTTTAACGTTCGTACTGCTGTCATTACGTTCTGAGCAATTTTGTAAGGTTTAAACTTGAATCAAGAGACGTCTGGATGATGTACAGAAAAATCTGGTCTTGTGAAACTTCGGAAAAAATAAACAGAAATAGTACGAAAGGGCAATGTCTTTGCTTTATTATATTAGACCATTACATTTTTTGTGTACAGTAGAGTTGTGGTCACATTATTTGCAGGCAGCCTCCGTGCTTGGGGTATTGCGCAAATCAGCAAGAATGCCTCGTCTCAAACCGTCAGCAGCAATTCTGTGCTCGTGACATTGCAAGTTCATTTTTCCAAGAACGACTAGCAAGAACGTTCTCCCCAGGAAAAGAAATCGGTTCTTTGCATTCTTGGTTTTGAGAAACACCCGTGAGGGTTAGCAAGTATGAGCTAACAGGAGCTAACCTCTGTAGCTCCTTGTTTACTTCTGTACCGCTGCGTGTGACATCGCGTTATTCTTCTGCGCATGGGTCACTTTTAGGTCGTGGACATTCACACTGGAGGTTGACAACTGTCAAATAAAAAAATCGGATCTGGGGAAAAAAATTCTAAATCAAGCATTAAGGCCTGCAGTGTGAACGTCACCTTGGTTAACCTTGATCTCCTTTTGTAGGTCTGGCTGTGCTGACTGTTGCAGTGCTGCTGTGTTGCTGACTGGACTGCTTGTTTCTGCAGGTGAGTTGATTAAAGTTTTAAATCTAAAAATCTAAACCTCCATCGATGAAGATATTGGCATTTTGAGAGAAAAGACATGTGGCTACATTTTGATGACTTTTTTGTGTTTATGGAGATGAATCTATGCAACTTACAGCAGTTTACAAAAACATTCTGGTCTACCAAATCCTTCTCTCCACACTGTAGGTATTTGTGTCTCCTAAAAGCTTAAAACCCTTCACTTTGGAAGGACATATCAATAACAACTTTGATCAACATCTTTTCTGTAGTTTAAGGCTGAAATGGAGTCTGTAGCTACATCCGGAGCAACAAGCTCTTAAATTTAAGTAGGTTGGAAGAAATTTCAGTCTCCGCTCCCTCAGAAACCCATTAATTTTTAAATGCATACAAATATTAACATAAAATCAACCATTACAGATATCAGAAATAAAAGTAATAGTGCACTTCTCATGAACAAGATGTACAATTTGAAGTTGAAATGGAGTTTGTAGGACAAACTGTACAGGAGAAGATAGGTGCCAAATACGGCATTAAACAGACATTGACAAAACTGTTGGTACTCTTCCATTAAAAGAAAAACCCACAATGGTCCCAGAAATAACTTGAACCTGACAAAAGTAAATAATTAATAAAAAAATACTGAAAATTAACTTATTAAAATCAGACATTGGTTTTTAATTATGGTTCAACAGAATCATTTTAAAAACAAACTCATGAAATTGTACCGGACACAAATGAACCTGAACTTAAAATTTTGTTGCACAATGTGCAATCAAGCGATTGCTGTTACTCTCAATGAGACTTCCTCACTTGTCAACACATATTGCACCAGCACGTACCTTGAGATCCTCGGGCAGAGGTCTGTTGTCTGTTCCAGAGTTCGACTGAAAACTAAAGGGGACAGAGCGTTTGCTGTCAGGGCCCCGAGGCTCTGGAACAGCCTGCCCGAGGAAATCAGGTCGGCTGAGTCAGTGAACTCTTTTTTAAGTCCCTTCTTAAAACATACTTTTATAGGAGAGCTTTTCCCGATCTTATTTGACTTTATTTTATCCCTTTTATTTTATTGTATTTTACTAATTTTATATTTATTTTTTTGTATTATTCTTTACACTTGTTAAAGCACTTTGTAACTTGTTTTTGAAAAGTGCTCTACAAATAAGGATTATTATTATTTAGGCCCACTACTCCTGCTGTTTCAGGTTTGAAGGGTGCCTTCTCCAGACTGCATGATTCAGCTCCTTCCACAGATGTTCAATAGAATGTAGATCAGGGTTCATAGAAGGCCACTTCAGAATAGTCCAATGTTTTGCTCTTAGCCATTCTTGATGATTTTAGCTGTGTGTTTTGGGTCATTATCCTGTTGGAGGGCCAATGACCTGCGACTGAGACCAAGCTTCCTGACAATGGGCAGTACATTTCGGTCCAGAATACCTTGAGATAGTCTTAAAATCTCTTTGTACCCTGTACAGATTCAAAATGCCCTGTGCCAGATGCAGCAAAGCAGCCCCAAAACATAACCGAGCCTCCTCCATGCTCCACTGTAGGTGAGGTGTTCTTTTCTTTGTATGCTTCATTTTTGTGTCTGAACATAGAGCTGACTTGCCAAATGGCTCCGGTTTTGTTTCATCTGTCCAAGGGACATTCTCCCAGAAGCTTTGTGGCTTGTCATTTTTGTTTTATAAAATTTTTGTTGAAACACTATTCAAAAGCCATGTCTGATTTTCATCAGTTAATTTTCAGTACATTTTTATTTATTAATTTTGTCAAGTTCAAGTTATTTCAGGGACCATTGTTGGCTTTTCTTTCTTTAATGGAAGGGTATCCACATCTGGATATAAATAATAAAGAGTGACAACAATTGGTGAGAGAGCTGTAGCTTTCATACTAATAGTGCACATCTCATGACGATGTACATTTTGAAGTTGAAACAGAGTTTGTAGGACAAATGGTACAGGAGGAGATAGATGCCAAAAATGGGGATATATGTAACTAGAATGGTGTTTTTTATTTATTTATTTTTGCTGCCACTGCAAAGTGCTGCCTCTTCAGCAATTTTTCAAATCCTGTCATATGCTAAAAAATCTATCATATGCTACGGACTTGCTTGAAATGCCTCCAAAGCACCAATAGAGGGTGCTCAATACCTGGCAAATAACTCTCTGAAGAAAACACTTCCATGTGAAAAATGATTGCATTTTGAAAGCTATGATTAGTTAACACTGTTGGCTGAGGATGGAATCGTACCATGTCTGACACCATAAGTGCTGCTTTGAAGACACACTTCCAACTGAACAAAACTTTTGACAAAGCTCACAATTTGTCGTTCTTTTATCCAGAGCTACTTTTGAGGAACAACATACAAGCATCAATGAACCATCAATACAGTAAGAGTTCTGACCATAGTAAGTGACCATAGATACTAGTAAGAACTATTAGCACGGACAGCATCAATGGGGTAAATACTTAGAGAAAGAAGTAAGAGTTAATTAAATGGTGCATCAAAGCTTTTCGCTTTCTGTGGAGGTTCTGAGTCATTCTGGCCATAGTTATCCAAGGAAGGTTAGAATCAAGGGTAACTGGAATTGGTTGAAAATACTTAAAGCATTTCATCCCCCATCCATCTTCAGTTCTGACTAAATGGTAGGGAAACTCAGCTATTTAACCTCTGTGGGGTTGTTGTCAAGATGATCGAGGTTGGAAGAATATTGAGTCTGTGCTTCCATAGAAAAATATTAATATAAAATCAACCATTGCAATTATCAGCAACACAAATAACAGCATGAATCACATGAAGACGATGTACCTTTGGAAGTTGAGCTGGCAGCTCTAACCCTAAATATCTTATATTAAAGTCATATTAGGAACATGATACAACGATGAATGACATTTGGTTCTATATTTGTTTGTTGATAATTCTGTGTGAAGTTAACATAAAATAGGTAGGTATAGATCCATCTTGATGAGGTGATTCCACCAAACTTTCCAGACACCCCTTTGCTGGGGAAACATGAGTTGTCCCTCTCTCATTAGCAGTTGCTAATGTTGCATTAGCTCAGACCTACCCTGTTTGCTTCATAATGTTCAATTTAAATTCAGAACCAGAAGGAGCTTTATTGCCAAGTAGTGTTTTACACATGAGGAATTTGCTTTGGTAATAAGGTGCTACAGGTAGACAAACATACGGTTGACATAAATAAATGTATAAATATGGAATAAACAAATTTACATTATATAAGAATAATAGAGAAAAATAATACAATTTGCAGAGAAAAAACAATGTGGCAGATATTTACATGTGCATTACTCCGGTTCGTGTTACAGACGTATTGCAATGGGAGAGGATATAGTGTACATACTGTAAATATATCATCCATCGTCAACTGCTTATCCTGCGTACAGAGTACATAAATATATAAATTCACTTAATATAAAATTCACTTAATATAAAAATATAGAACAACAACGATTTACAATTAACAAATATCTGCAATATGCCAGGTTTGTGCATGATATGAAATTAAGTATAATTTAGATGTGAGACATCTGCATTATTTGCAAGGGGGGAGTGTCAGTGAGAGACCCGGTCCTTGTTAATGAGGCTAGCTGCAGACGGGTAGAAGCTGTTTTTGTGGCGAGAGGTTTTGGTCCTGAAGGACCGCAGGGGGAGAGTCTGAAACAGTTTGTGTCTGGGGTGAGAGGGGCCAGCTGCAATCTTTCCTGCTCGCCTCAGAGTCCGTGAGGCGTACAGGTCCTGAATAGAAGGAAGATTGCAGCCAATCACCTTCTCTGCAGAGCGAATGATGCGCTGCAGCCTGCCCTTGTCCCTGGCAGTGGCAGCAGCGTACCAGATGGTGATGGAGGAGGTGAGGATGGACTCAATGATGGCGTGTAGAAGTGCACCATCATTGTCTTTGGTCCTGCAGGAAGTACATCCTCTGCTGGGCCTTCTTGGTGAGGGAGGTCCTGGGAGATGATGGTGCCCAGGAAGCGGAAGGAGTCCACAATGGCGGCTGGGGAGTCACACAGGATGATGGGGGAGGGTGGGGCTGTGCTCTTTATAAGTCTAGGACCATCTCCACGGTCTTCAGAGTGTTGAGCTCCAGACTGTTCTGGCTGCACCAGGTCACCAGATGGTCGATTTCCCACCTGTAGGAGGACTCATCCCCACCTGAGATGAGCCCAATGAGGGTGGTGTCATCTGCAAACTTCAGGAGCTTGACGGACTGGTGACTGGAGGTGCAGCTGTTAACTGTTAGGGAGAAGAGACAACAATACAAAAGAGACCAATCCACTAACGTTACAATAAGGTAACTTACTGTGGTCTAACTGTTATAAAGTCAACAACAATCTCATTTAAAATATTCAGTCTAGCTCACCAACCGTTTCGTCATCATCCAATACATTTAGCTGTGTTGATATTGTTGAGCCTCCGGTGAAAGATACAGATAATAATGATAGCTTACTGAAAAGCAGCAGGTGAGCTAATGCAGTCAGTGAAATGTTATGTAACGACCATGGGTTAGTTAAAACACAAGCAGCTGATAAACATTACTGTAACGTTGCAGTGGGAGTTTCCAGCATGTTGTGTGAAGCTGTCTCCTGTCTATAGCTGCTGTCACACTGCCTTATTTTACAGGAGTGTTATTGTGTCACTATGCCATCGAGCTCCACTGGATGAAAGGGACGGAGCCAGTGTTGATCTGCATCTGAGTGGGGAACATTAAAGAAACAGAGCCTGAACATGTCTGGAGAAAAGCCACAGATGGCATGCCCTTGTTTCCGCGTTTATTGCTGGATTTCTGTATGAAAGCGGCTTAGGATTATGCTCGCTCATAAGTTAAAGCGAGCAGGCATATGAGGCTTTTTATATACAGACTATGGTACGAGCACACACCTGGTTGCAATCTTAAGACCGCACCGGTAGTGCCCGCTGAGAATTGTATAATGTCCCTTTTAACTATT